GAATAAATAGGATTAAATAAGAAAAATTAAAAAATATGCTAGAGAGAAAATAATGTATTGGTGGGAAAATTTTAGAGAGAGGGATTTTAGAGGAAAAAGTAGAAATAGTAATTTTATAGAGATAGAGAAAAAAATCTGGAGGAAAAAAGTTAGAAATATTAGAGAGAGAATATTAGTGAGAGAAAACAAAGAAAAAATCATAGAAAAAATAATGTTAGCGAGAGAAAAGTTAGGAGAAAAACTAGAAAATTTTAAATTGATAATTTTTAAAAAAGGAATAAAGTTATAGAGCAAGTGTATATGTTAGTAAAATAAGGATACATTATAAAGAGAAAAAAAAAGTGAAAAAAAAATTAGAGAGAAATTTTAGAAATAGAAAAGTTTGAGATATATATATTATAGAGAAAATGAAAGAGAAGTTAATAGGAAGATATAAATTAGGGAAAGATAAATTCAAAAGAAAAATTTTATAGAAAGAAGTTTCGGAAAATTTTAAACTCGGAAAGAGGAAAAAAGGTAAGAGAGAAATATTGGAATGGAAAGAGAAGAAAAAAGGTTATTAAGAGATGAAAATTTAGATAGAGTGAGAAATTCTTAGAGTGCGAAAATTTGAGGGAGAAAAGTTGGAGAGAAAAAAGAAAAGGAAAACTATACGAAAGGGCATAAAATAATGAAATATGTATTTATAAAAATATTATTATTATTATTTTTCCTTTTAAATGGGGTGTTAAAGGCGTGAGATTTTGATAAAAATAACTTTTTTAATTAAAAATTATTCGATATTTTTAACTACGTAATCGTAAAGTTATCAAAGAATTCAATTTCTACAAAAAAGAAACGACATTGTTAACAATTGATCTAAAATCTGAAGGACAAGACAAAATAGGCATGGATAAAAAAAATAAAATAAAATAAATAAGAAAAGTTGACTCCACACCATGAACTTCTACGTGCTTTGTTGTGAGAATAATTTTATTATGTTAAAACAATACTAATATAATTTGTTTATTAAAATATATTAAAAATAAATTAATACTAATACTGTCTCTTCTATATTTGATTGGATTTAAATTTAAGGTAAAAATACATTTTTGTCCTTCAAATTTAAAATAAGTGTTTATTTGATCCCTAAAATTTAAAAATGAACACTTTTGAYCTTTGAAATTTGAAATACGTGTCTATTCGATCTCTGAAGTTCCAAAATTGATATTTTCAATCSTTAAACTTTAAGAAATAGTTCTAAATTGTCCCTCATTAATCATTATCATTAGTTGACTAACCTTAAAATGACGTGATAGTTAAATTACTTATTCGACAAAAATATATTAATTTAATGTTATATTTGTGGCTTTTATTTTCTTCCTCTCTTCCTCTCTCTTTCTCCCTCATCTCCGGCCAACACTCGTCGTTGCCGCTAGTCATTCCTATCCTCACCCATCGCCCGTTGCCTGCCATAATCCTCGTCGAAATCATTCCAATCGCCCTCGCCAGAAAAGAGGAGGCTCCCCCTCTCTCCTTCGTTCCAAAGAGATGGAGGACCCCTCTTCGACGCTCCTCCCTCCCTTCTGATTGTTGGCATAATGATATTTTTTTTTTCAATCACCTTCATTGCCTTATATTAGATATCCAATATATGAATTAAATTTATCCAACTCATCCGCTTAAACTTTTAAATTGAGTTGTGGTTTATTCATCCTTTTAACCCCATTATATAAATATTATCATCCTATCTCTCTAGTTCTCTAATCTCTTCTATGGTTTAATTCAACTTTCTCCTATGACCACGAAATCTTCAAAATCCCACTTTCCAAGCTCAATGTAGAAAATTTTACACCCTCCCCTCTTCCACTTCCTCTCCTCTGCATCTTCCTCCTACCTAATCGGCCTTAGCTCACAAGGATTATTAGGTCCTAGCTCACAAGGATTAGGATAGAAACGACCGGCGGAGAGTGGAAGAAAGGAGAAAAATAAAGCCTACAAATATAATGTTAAATTAATATATTTTTACCAAATAAGTTATTTAACCGCCACATCATTTTAAGGTTAGTCAACTAAGTAAAGTAGCTATGAGGGAACATTTAGAACTATTTCTTAAAATAAAAAATTTTAGGACCAAGAATGTTCATTTTAAAACTCTAACGACTAAATGGACATCTATTTCTTTTTTTTTCTTTTTTTTTTAATATGGACACTTATTTCAAACTTCAAGGATCGAAAGTGTTTATTTTGAAATTTCAGATATCAAATAGACATCTATTTCAAACTTTAGAAACCAAAAATATATATATATTTTTTAAATTAATTATTGATGAAAAAGAGGTTATAGCGTGATTTTTTAAAGTAGAAATAGAGATGAGAGATTGAATATTCTAACTTTGACGAAAAAAAACACAAGATATCTTAACTGCTGAATAAAGATTTTGACCACTAACTTCTAGTATTTTATTGTGAGATTAATTTTACTGTGTCAAAAATTAATTCACTTATTAAATGTATCATAAATAAATTAATAGATCCTCTAATATATTGGATTGGATTTTTTTTTCTTTGTTCATTATTGTATATTGTATATTGGATTGTTAATCTAGATCACGTTAGGAGTTTTGCAATATTTTCCAACGCTGCATATTCAAATATTTTGTTCATAAAATTCCCACTAATGAACATGAACCACAAAATTATTAAAATATATTTTTTAAATTAATCTCCCATAAATTTAATGGAGTAAAACCATCAAATCACATTATTTCTGTCTCTTCCATATCCAGCCTTTTTTTTAATATTTAGAACCTTCAAAATAATTATATATATATATATATATATATATATATATATATATATTAAATATTAAAATATTCTTTTTATATTAAATAAAAGAATTATACAATATCTGCCTCGTGCCTCTCATTCACGTTTAAAAAATAAGTGTAAAATATTAAAATATTCCTGCTATAATAAATAAACGCTAAATTAATTATTCAAAATGCCTATGATGTTTGGGTTTAATATTAACTCTACCTTCATCGTTTAAAAGTCTTACTTCTACCCCTAATTATAAAATTTAGATTCAAATATGTCCGTGAATAATTTTATCCTTAAAATAAATGATCATGGTAACTGAATTATTGACGTTGCTACTAAGTTTTAAATGACTTGTGGTAGGTATAACTTTTAAAAAATTAACAGCAAATTTGACAACCACTAGAAAATTTGTAATGTGGGTCGTGTGGTTTGCAGTATGATTCTATAGTTATTATCAATACCTGTCATATTTGCCATTCCATTTTTTTGAAAATGCCACTTCGACCACTTCTCCATTAATAGCTCACTGAACGACGCGTCGATTTTCATAATTTATTTTAACTTAAAATTATTTAATGACATATTTGAATCAATTTTAAAAGTCAAAAGAGTAAATGAGACAAATTTATAATTGATCAAACTAACTTTAAATAATTTAGCCATAAAGAAAAAGACTATACAGGCAACTATAAGTCTCTTATTTACTTAAATATAATCCTTTCTTATTTTTGCAGTAAATAAAATAAAAAGAAAAAATCAATTTTTATCTCTTAATTTGTAACTTTTTATTTTTTCACTTCAACTTTCAATTTCATCCATCCATTTGCAAGGATTGTAATGGTTACTTCCTATTCAAATTTTGCTAATTTAACTGCTACTTTCAAGTATTTATGTGTGTGTATAATTCTATTGGAACAAAAAAAATTTAAACCAAAAATATGAAAAAAAAAACCCTAGCTCTATAATATATTTTTTCTCTTAAATCGTATCAATATTGACTCTAAATACAGATTTAACGTTGTTTAACTCCATATTGAAAATTTTAAATATATTTTTAAGATATCATTTGGATGATAATTTTGAAAATTTAATTATACTTAAATTAATTAGAA